TCAATCTCATCATCGCCATGTATATCGGTACGCGGGTGCATCCCCACCACCGGCTCGGCCACCTGGCCGCCTTCTCCTCGCTCCCTCACCTCGTCCCCCCGGCCCCCGGCTTGATCCCGTCCCGGGCCCATCATGCAGGCACACTTCTCTTCTCCTACGGTAGCCTCGTGCGTGCCTGGACACTTCGCCTTGCCCCTTCCTCTGCTTGTGCTTCCCTCTGCCGGTCCCCGTCTCCCTGTGGCTGCCTCCAGCCACTTGTGCATTCATCTTGGCGCTAACCCCCCGGACTCCCGACGCGCAGTTCGCCAACCGTGTGCTGCCCATCCCGCCGGACTTTGGTGGATGTGTCTACGTCATTTGTATGTCTTGCCCCTCCTCCTCCTGCTCCTCCTCTTGCCTCTCTTTCCTTTGTGTCGATCCTTCGCCACACACGATTGACCCCTTCCCCCCCCGGGCGGCCTCCCCTCCCCCGATCGCCACAGACTGGATGCAGCTCTACTTCGGCATGTTCCTGATGCTGGGGGCTTTCATGGTCCGAATCTGGAGGGTGCGCCCGGCGTCTGCCCCATCGCCCCTGTCAGCGCCCCAGCCCGGGCCTCATTCTAACCTCCGGGCTTGCCTCCCCCTCTCATGCATGATCGCAGCTGTACCTGATCTTCCTCCGGCGGAAGTCCATCTCGATGTTCACCCTGTACCTGCCCTTTGGGCTGGTCATGCTGGCCGGCTTCATCACCGGGGTCATCATCTCGGCGCTGCATCTGATGGACCCGGTGAATTTCGGCGGCATCAACCTCTGCTACATCAATGACCTGGCCTTCTATCCCCTTTTCGGGGTGATCCTCGTGGTCTTGGTGGCCCTGGCGGTGATCAGCTTCCGCACACGCAAGATCAGCCACCGGTACTTCGGCGAGTACAAGACCCTGGTCATTCAGATGGGGCTCGTGTTTCTGGTCTTCTTTGCGGGGCTCATTTTCGTCATCTTCGGCGCCCAATACCACCTCTGGGGCCGAGTGGTCTTGGCCATCCTGTCGCCCTCGCTGATGATGCTCACCAACCTGGTGCAGTATGCCAACGTGGTGTACCACCACATGACCGGTCGCGATGCCTACCTGGAGAAGTTCCACACCTCCCTCCGTCCGACGGCCGCCTCGTCCAGTGGCGCTGGCACCAGCTTCAGCACCAGCAATACGTCCCTGGTCCCGACCGCCCCCCTGGCCGGCGGCACGGTGGAGTCCCAATCGTCGAGCGCTCTCGCACCGGCCGAGGATACCCCGGCCACCGAGCGTCTCCCCCGGCAATCCACCTCCTCGCTCATGGACACCACGGCCTCTGGCTCGGATCTCTTCCTGACACACTCATCCTCCGGAACATCGGGCGGGTCTCCCGACGTCGGTCCAGCTGACAAGGAGGACTGCCATGGCGGGCACCGCCCCTCCGGCCCGTCGGATGGCGACGTCGCCATGGTCAAGGACACCGCCACCGCCGGCCCTGCTGCCCCCGTGCCCGGCGGCCACCGGCCACTTAGCATTCTGCCCACGCGTATTGCGGACGACACGGAAGCCGACGAGGGTTTCGAAATGGGGCCCATTGGCGGAGCAGGAGCTTCAACAACCTCTCCCAGTGCCAGCAGCAACACCTCCAGGAGGACCGATGACCCGGAGGCGGACATGTTCCTGGCGGAAATCCCCCGGTCACCCCTTCCACCCCAGCCGCAGGGTGGCTACGTCTCACAGCCCGAGGGCCTGTCGACTTTCTCCCTGGCTGAAGGGGCCTGGCAGCCTCTACCAGCCCCTCCCTCCTCCTCGGGGAGCTCCCTGCCTCTGCCTTCTGCTGATAGCCCATTGTCGCCTCCACATGAGTGAGCTTTCTCTCTCTCTCTCTCTCTCTCTCTCTCTCTTTGTGGCTGTCGCCCCTCCCACAAGCGTGCTGTGCCTATGGGAGAGGAAAGAAGTTCCTAGACCCAGGGTCGGAGGTTTCTTCTCCCCCCCTCCCCCCCTCCCCGCCCTTCTCTCTTCCAACTGAGTTCCCGAAGCTCCGGGCCGGTTTTGGGCATGTGAATCTCTCAGTGCCAGATTCTCCCTCCCCCTGTCTCCTCTCCCCCTTGCCTTGCCCTTTCCTTCCCTCCGGAATACATTGTCCTTGTTATTACATCCACCGATCCCCTGCATGCCCGTCACACAGAGAGAGAGAGAGGAGGGGAGGAGGGAAAAGGCCCCCGGTCCATAGGTATCCATTATTTGGCGTTGAGCGACTTCCGCCCGCCATGTGACCAGAGGGGCGAGGACATTGAGGAGGACCCCCCGGAGGGCACTGAGGAGAGAGTCGGAGACGCGCCAGCCGAACTGGGGCTCGACGACCCCGGGGCCGAGTGCGCCAGTGAGAGAGACGATAGTGATGAGTCCGGCGAGGGGAGCTGCTGCTGCTGCTGCAGGGAAGAGGCCGAGGCCGAGGCCGACAGGGGCCCAGGCGACGACAGAGCCGGCGAGTCAGGCAAAGGGGCAAGCTGCGACCGGGAAGCCGCGGCAGAAGCTGCCTGAAGATGCGGTATCGACCGAGTCAGCTGGGACAGCAGCAGGCCGGGGGACAGGCGCGAAAAGCGCGCACGCCGACGAAGACGCGCAGCTTCGGCCACTGGGCAAGCGCCGAGTGCCAGACGCACGGCCGTCGGGCACCCGAGCACCGGATCCCGGGCGGCCAGCTCCCCGACCGGCTGGCTGAGCTCCGGCAGCGGGCCGAAGGGATCGCTGGCTGGGGCCGGACCCGGGGCCGGCGTGGGTGGCACAAGTCGCAGGCACGGCCCACTCGGTGGCAGAAGCCGAAAGAGGCCGGCCGTTTGCGTGGTCAAGCCACCCCCGTGCAAGGCCCGCTCCAGGGAGAACTCCACGTGGACCGGAGTCGGCCGGGCTGGCGGGGCCGGAGCGTCGGGCGACAGAAGGGCCGCAAAGCGTTCGGGCGAATTGACAAACGAGTCGAAGGGATCCACGGGGAGGCGCTTTTTGGAATGCTCACCGGCGGGAAGGCCGGGGGCCGATTGGCCCGGGGCAAGAGCGCCGGATCCCGGCACCTGAGCCGGCCGCCGGCGTGGGGCCTGCGGAGCCCCTTGTCCGGCGGCCGCTGGCGGCTTGCCGGCATCGGAGGATACACCAGCTCGAGCTGCATCTGCACGGCCGGAGTCGCTTGACTTGCGTCGGTTGGGCGGTTCATTGATCGAAGTATCGGATCCGGATCCGGATGCCGAGCTGGAGCCGGCATCGGAAGACTTACGAGGCAGCCCGGCCGGGGTCTTCGGTAGCCGGCTGGAAAGGAGGCCAAAAGGCATGGGCCATCAGCATGATGCAGAAGGAGACAAGGAGGGGAAGAGATCGAGGCGAAGGAGCCCGGTCAAGCAGGGGCCCCCCCCCCCCCCCCCCCCGGAGGTTGCATACCGTTTTTTGATTGGAGGTTCTGAACCGGAGTCCGGTGGCTGGGCGCTGCCAGTTCGACCAGGGCCGGCGTCAGCATCGCCAGCACCCGGCCGATTGGCCCTCGCCGAGGGAAGAGCGTCTGTCGACATGTCGGACGCAGGGGAGCTGCCAGCCCGGCGGGCGCCGGCCCCCGGGCCTGGCGAGGGCGACACCCCGCGCGAGGCACCGGGGGTGGCTGCCCGGCTGGACGAGGCCGATGTCAGGCCGGTGTCGATATTATGCACGTTTTTCAGGTGGCGCGACAGGCCGGCTGCCGTGGCATAGCGCTTGGCACACCCGCTGCCATGGCAGATGTACTTCTTTGGCAGGGTGTTCGGAGCCAATGGGGGGGCCTCAGCATTCAAAGGAGGAGGGGCCGGCGCCACGGACTTTGGCGGGGCCGCACTTCCCACCGGCACAGGGACCCGCATGGTTGGTTCACGGACGCGGGCGTCGCGGGCGGGATGGGAGAGAGAGAGAGAGAGGGAAGGGGTGGGAGCTAATGAGGCACACGCCGAGCGAGGCCAAAAGGGGGAAACGCGATTGATAGGGGAGGGGGGGGGAGGGGGGCCTGATCTGTGCGTAGATCCCGCCCTGCTGTCTCGTCGGTTGCCCAAGAGAACACGATAGCGGGCGAGGCAGCGACAGTCACGGGCCGGCGACGGGCGGGCCCACACCCATCGGGGTCGGCCGCCAGCGGCAATCTCCCCCCCCCCCCCCCCGCCGCGTCCTTTGCCGGGCCGTTCGGGTTTCGATCAGGCCCATGCGTTGGCACCTATGCGAGGCCCGGCCGCATCACGGAAGTCCCTGCGTTGCCGGCGCAGTTTGCTGTTTGCGCGTGGCCGGCTCGCTCGTCCGTTGATCACTGCCGGCTACCCCCGCCCCCCGTCCCCCCCCCCTTCCCTCCCCGGGCGTTTGTGGCAGCCCGGCGCCCGCCGGCGGTTGCAACGATACAACTAGGCGGTTTGTTCTATTTGGGATGTGGGAGGCGGAAGGGGGAAGAGAAAAAACACCATGCAAGACATCCCCCCAACTGGCCGACCGCCCAGGGAAAGGTAGACAGATGCAAAGTACATGCCCGTGTGCGTGTCTTCTCACGTACACATACACACATACATTTGCATATCGGGAAAACTCAAGGTCACGGCACCAGGCGCGAAGCGGCGAGGCGCTTTACAACTCGTCAGACTGCGGCACAACCGCAGCCGCGGCCGCAGCCACAGTCGTAGTCTCAGCCGCAGCCGCAGCCGCAGTCGCAGTCGCAGCCGCAGCTTGTAGCTGGGCAAACGCCTGATCCATCCGATGCTGGGCCGTGTTGCCGGCCGCCCGGCGCATGGCGCGCGAGATGAACCGGGTGTTTGCATGCTTGGCCAGGGCAGGATGCTGGTAGTAGGACGACCCGACCAGCATTGAGAGGGTGGCCACGCGTTGCCGGTGCCCCAGGAGCCCGGGGCTGGTTGCAGTCGACAGATGGGGCACCATGGTCGACAGGGCATATGTCTCATGGCGGTGGTCCGACACCGGGGCCGACACGGGCTGGATCAGAGGGACCCCCTCGAAGGTGGCAGTATCATCACCGGGGGTGGCCTTCCAGCGGCTACCGGCAGAGGCCCGGATCCCAGGGCCGGCGCCCGTCCGGGCCGCCACGTGGCGACCGCGCTGGAACGGGCACACCTCCTGTGCCGGGTGCTGGCCACACGCCAGGCACAGGTCCACCAGGTCCTTCTCGCGCCGAGAGGCGGCCGACACCTGCAGGGCCCACGGATGGCCAACCATGCCCTTGGACCGGTTCTTCGGGCAGGGAGTGGCAGCATCGTGGGCACCGCAGTACGTGCAGAGACCCTGCATCTGACGGCGCTGACGCTCCTGCTGGGTGAGGATAATCTGACCGGAGGGCAGGGCCATTCGAGCATCGGCGGAGGCGTCCCCGGCGACCTTGGGCACCCGGTCCTTGTTCTTCTTCTTTTGCTTCTTCGCCGCCGTCACCGTCGCCGTCGTCCCAGAGGAGACTTCCACCGGGTCCTGGTGCTCGGTTTGGGCCTCGACCTCCGGACCGGTCTCAGCCTCAGCACCATCAACGGTCTCGGTCGACTGCTGCTTGGAGGGCTTCTTGGTGGGGCGATACTGCTGTGAAGCTGTGATGGTGGCGCAGGGCTGTCCACTCGGGTGTAGCCCACAATAGACACACAGGTCCTGCCGCAGGCGACGGTCATGCTCGGCCATGGTCAAAGCACGGACCCCATTCACCAGGAGGATGCCTCGCCGGGCAAGGTGCTGGCAGGGCACGGAGTTCGCATGGAGGCCACACTCCTCGCACAGGTCGAGGCTACGACGCCGGCGCTTCTCGGCCTTGGGCACGATCACCCGGTTGTTCTTCAACAAGACGCGATACCGCTGGAGCATCTTCGGACACTCGACGGAGCTCGGGTGCTCACCGCAGTAGAAGCACAAGTCCTCCTGGATACGGCGAGTGGCCTCGGCCGGCCGGAGGCGGAAGCGCCCACCGACAAACTGGTGCGTCGTGCTGCCGGTGGCCCAATTGGGACAGGGCTCATGCCATGCGTGTTTTCCACAGGCTTCACACAGGCCGAGGTTGCGGAAGAGGAGCCGATGCGCCTTCGGCGGGAGGGGCGTCAGCCCGTGCGCGGGCGAGAAGCGCAAACTGCGCGTGTTCCGGGGCGGGAACTGGCCAAACAGCGACAGTCCAAGCGGCCGCCGGCCGGGGGACTCCCGTGCCCGAGCCAGCGCCTGGCGCAGGGTCATCGCCGGGAGGGGCTTGCGCGTGATTCGCGGCGCCGAGCTGGACATGCCGGGCCAGGCTGCGGTCCCATTCTGGAGTTCCTCAAGCCGGGGATACCGGGAGTTGTGTGTGCGATCCTCGGCGCGGGAGTCGGCCTGGTCGTCGTCCGAGTCATCGAAGACGGCCCAGGAGTCCCGGCGCTGGCGAGTGTGAGCCCCACCATGGCGGAGGGACCGGCCGCGACCAGGCTCAGGGGAGATGTGCTCGGTGTCCTGGAGCTCGGGATCGTGGAGGGAACTGCTGTGGCGCGAATCGCGACGCGACTTGCGCAGCACATTGGTGGGCACCGGGTCGTCGCTCACATCCCGGGGCTCCTGGTCATGGAGCTGCGCGAGATCGACGAGCCCGGGGTCATGGAGGGAGCTATTGCGCCAGGAGGCAGATCGACGGCCCTCACGGCGCTCGCCCTGGTGATGCTCGGCCTCCGCCTCGTCATGGTCGTCAGGCCGGAATTGCGGGACAAAGGCCGCCGATCCGTGGGGCTGCTGGGACAGGAAGTTCCGTGATGATGATGATGAGGAGTAGTCGGCGGCCGCAACAGCACGGGCCGTGCGCGACAGCCGGGCTGGTCTCAGCAGCGTGAGCAACGTCTCCTTCGGGCACGCGCGCGCGCGGGAGAGAGAGAGAGAGGAGTTGGATGGACGACCTAGGTCAGGACGAAGCAAAGGCAGGGCCAAGGGAGGCCGACGAGAGGAGGGCCGGCGACAGACCGAGAGTGGCGAAGGAGGGCGAGCGACGCGGCGGAGGATGGCAAGAGAATGCAGCAGGAGGGCGCAGCGGGAGGAGCAGGGGAAAAGAAGAGCAGATACAATGCGTGGCAATATCGGGAGGGGGAGGGGGGCGGGGGGTAAGGAGGGGGGAGGGGGGACGCGGATCGCAAAGAGTCGAGTACTTTCATCTCAGCAGAGGGCCGAGCCACTGGCGGCATGGTTGCCAAAAGGCCTTGGGCGATTGCCCTTCCTCGCGCAGCCCCCCGGGCCCCCGGGGTGAATCTCGGGACAGCGTGGAGGCGCCAGCAAAAACATGGCCAGGCCGAGAGGGGCCCAAACAGTCAGCCAGCCCGGGGGTCGCCCCCCCCCCCCCGCGCCGCCCCCCCCCCCTCGTCCCTCTCTCTGTTGTCTCCACACCATTTTTTTTTGTTGTTTTTTCTTTGGTGGGGGGTTGTTTTTTTTTGGGGGGTGTGGGGGGAGGAGAACCAGAACACAAATGTCATTATTGGCGGTGCGCTGGCACATAACACGCATCAGAACCGTCTCGCGATGTGCGGCGTGACCGGATCACGGAGGCCCGGCGATCCTCACCCAACGCCAACGCCTGGGGGGGGGGGGGGGGCCTGTCTGTCAACTCTCCCCGTCTCTCACTCTCTCCCTCTGGATGGATGACAACAGGGCCGGTGCAAGCATCTACGAGAGACGTGAAGCCGAGGGTCCGGATGTTGTTTACCTTTTTCTTTGGCGTCTGGGGATGGAAGAAGAGGGAGCCCGGCCACGCACTCGGCACCTAGTCGCCGGGCATGTTGCCCCTCCCGTCCGTCCATTCTCCCTTTGCGCCCCTTCTGTGATCCCCTCCAATCGCTGCAATCTCTTCCCCCACCTCGACATGTACTCTCCCGGCCCCCTGGTCGGTGCCTGGCTGTCGCCGAGCCTCTCCCCCTTCGGCGTGTATCTTCCCCTGGTCACGGCTGGCCTGTTGCTGGTTGGGTTGATGTTCATCGGGACCTTCATCCAGTGCGTCTCCCCCTTCTGTCATGCTCTCTCCCTCTCTCTCTCTCTCTCACTCGCCCGCTCGCTCGCTTGCTCTGTCCATTCGTGACGTCTGACCCTTCGCCTTGCCCAGGTCCATCTCGGCGCACCGTGCCCTGGATGGCTCGAAAGGCGGCCGCCCATCATCCATTCTTTCGGACATGGCTCTGGCCATGGCGGCTTCGCTATTGCTGGGCTTCGGCATCATCAGCCTGGCGGCCCTGTTGGGTGTTCCTCTGTAATATCGTGGCCTCCTCACACCCTACTTGGAGCCCTATGCTCCCACCTTCTCGCCCTCTCTCTCTCTTTCTCTGTCTCTGTCTCTGTCTCTCCTGTCCTTGTGAAATGTAAATTAGTCTCTTCTGGACATTTGATGCCCGCCCTCCCCTTTACACGACATGTAGGCGTGTTGCCGGCGGTATATTCGGGAAGTCTTCTTGGAGATGCAAGGGCCGGATGGACGGTCACTCCTTCAAGTTCTTGCCGTACTCCTCATCCAAGCCGGTGAAATCCGAGATCTTGGCGGCATCCTCCTGCAAGATGATGCACTCATGTAAGTGTGCGCACTTTTGCGTTTGTGTGTGTGTGTGTGTGTGTGTGTGTGCGTGGGCAGGGGGGAAGGAAAAAAAAAGGAAAAAAGGAATCGAGAAAATAGCCGTATTGCAATCGAGGGAAGTACGCACATCGACCATGCCACAGGGGAGGAAGCCATTCGACTTGCAGTTGCTGTACCGAAGATGTCAGGTCAAAAACATATGTCAGTGGGTGTGCCCAAGCGAAGAAAAAAAGCATCTGACAGGGCCCCATGGTTGGAAGCCAATCAGGGAGCATGGCAGAGAGCAGCAGCAGCAGCAGCAGCAGCAGCAGCAGCAGCACGCCACGCACAAGCACTGATGCCGGGGATACGGATAGAGGGAGTCCGTGCGCCACCGACAGTTGGTGCACCGGAAGAAGTGCTTCTTCCGAGGCTGGCCTGTCCGATAGGCGTGTCCGAGTTCGTCACACATTGGAGTTGGCTTCTCAGACCACAGGTCGCACTGTACAGGGCCCAGGAAATCAGCGGTGGTCGGGATGGCGAAATGGTAAAAGGAACGCCAAGGGACAAATGACATGCGCGCATATACAAATGAACAATACATCCACATATCGATGCATGACAGTCATGTGGAGTGTGTGTGTGTGTGTGTGTGGCTGTGATTGTGTGTGGCTGTGATTGTGTGTGGCTGTGATTGTGGTGGCAGCTGTCTGGAAACGCACCGACGGACAGAACACCGCGCGCACGGTGATGAACTGCACTTTGCGCATACGATCATACGCGCGCTCCTGCTTGGCGAGGCGATTGAACACCACATCTCGCTGCTTCTTCTCCTCGGCATTGATCTTGTCTTGTTGCAGGGACCGAGCCGATCCGGCACTCTTGACCAGGGATGCATCCATGCCGAGTGCCTTCATCAGGGCATCGGCCGAGGGGTCGCGCGTGGCACCAGATGAGGCCTCCTTCGGGTTGGACTTGCCGGATGAGGCCTTGACGGCCGAGGCTGTTGCGGCCGGCCGGCGCCGCTCGAAGGCCGATAGCAACACACTGTTGGACACCACGGATGAGCGAGATCGCCCGGCCGTGTCCAGCGAGCTAGACCGGCGCACGTCGGCCGGAAGAGCCTCCGCCTGTGTTCGAGGGACCGATGGATCGGGCGCCGGGAAGAGAGCAGGGCCGTTTGAGGCGACCGCGCGACGGCCCAGCTCCGTGGCAACGGCCATCTGCGACTGGGTCGCCGGGAAAGGGCGACGCCAGTGTCAACAGCGGCCGGGCAAGAAGGCATGAGGAGAGGAGGGGGGAGGGGAAAAAGAAGAAGAAGAAGAAGAAGAAAAAGATGAAACAAGGCACAAGACAACATACAATGGCAATGTCAGTGGCCACCTCGGGCAGCTCCAAGTCAATGAGAGGGGCAGCATCGGGTGCGGTGCGCGGGCGCTTGGCTGGAGTGGACTTTCCACTTGCCGAAAGGTGAGCGCCAACAACCGACGGCCCGAGGCCTCCACCGATGATCGGGACGAAGGCGCGACTATTGAGCTCGGACCCGGGGTCCGATAGTTCAAGGCTGGTGCGTTCGCGCTTGTATGACAGCTCGGCCGCCGGTGCCGGTCGCCGCATCTGGGGATTGGCCTCCAGGAACTTTTCACTTCGACCAGGAAGTCAGGAGGCTGGCCCAAAAGAGAAGCAATGTCACACTGGCAGGACGCACAAAGACCGGTGCGCGGCGGCCGCGTCGGCAGCGCGGTTTTTGGCCAGGGTGCCCAGATCCACAAGTTGGCCGTCAGGCAGGAGCTTCAGCCCGGCCGCCTCGGGGCCGGCCAGGTGAGCCACATCCAGGGTCGAGTTGCGGCCCTGACGCCGGGTGCCAGTGTCAGGACGGACGGATGAGGGACTGGAAGGTGGGACGGGATGGCGGTCGGGGGGTCAGCAAAAAGAAGTCAAGACAGAGGGGGAGAGGAGCTGGCCAAACGAAAGCAGGGGGCAAGGGGGGAGATCTTGTCGCACCCAACTCGCAGTTCCGCGCGATTGAGAACTGACGACCTGAAAGCCATCATCAAGTGGTGTTCACAAGTGGGCCCACGCGATCTGGCGGGAATCCGGACGGTGCATCCGGGGAGTGGGGGATGCGAAGAGGAAACCAAACACCAATTAGCAGGAAAATCGTGTGTGTGTGTGTGTGTGTGTGTGCGTGTGTGTAAAGAACGCTGTGGAAGGGCGCCCGTACGTGTCGATCTTGATGGTACAGCGCTGCCCTGTGCTAGTGCGAATTGCGTCGCAAACGCCAAAATGCACGGCCCGGCCAATGGGACAAAGCTGACGCGAGTCGCGAATGAATAGCGTGGTCGTTTGGTCGGTGGTGGTTTGCTACGATTGAGCCACAGTCAGCAAACCGGCAAAGAGGGTTCTGCTCAATGAATGAGAGGGAGGGAGGCAGAGAGAGAAAGAGACATGGCGGCAACACACCGGAAGAACCTTTGGACGGCGGAGGAGGATGGCCGTGCCCTCCTCAATATCCGCATGGTCCTTGAAAACCGAGCCAAAAAGCAGCAGAGCCGCCGAAGCCCGGGGATTCGAGGTGTCCCCGCGGAGGTCGGTCAACTTCCAGCGAACATAGAGTTCGCCTTTGGAACTTTGGCACAGTCAGCGATAAGGAGGAGAGGGGGCGAAGATGAAGGAAGTGCGAGTGTACGAGGTACATACGACTTGAGGGGATCCGACTTGGCTGTCAGAATACCGAGTACGGAAAGGGACTCTTCCTTGGCCTGAGTCGAATACGCAGCGAGCTGAGAAACCCGAAGTTCACGCGTGCCGGCCACCAAGGCACGGATTTTCCCCTGGCTCTGGAAGACGGGCGATCTGATCATGGGGTGGTGAGTAAGAGTGTCGATGCGCACACCTGTGTGCGCCTGTGTGCGTCTGTGTGCGCCTGTGTGCGCCTGTGCGTGCGTGTGCGTGTGCGTGTGTGTGTGTGTGTTCGCATGGCAGGAGGCCCATGTGCGAGAGGAGAGGTATGACTTTCAGGGGAAAAGGTACAATTCGATGGCCGTGTGAAACATTGCTGTCGCCAGCGCGACCGGATCCTGGGCACGAGGCCTCTCCTCGGATGGAGCCGGAGGAGCCATCTCCGGTCTCGAGGGGGAGGGCGGAGCAGCACCCGAGGTGGATGGTGTGGCGTCCACGCGCGGTGGAGCGTCAGAGGCCGACATGCCAAGGGCAAGGAGAAAAGATGAAACGGCAGGGAGGACAAGGGAGGGGGGGGGCAAGAGGCTAGCGCGATTGCCAAATCCGCAAGTAGGCCGTCTGAAATAAAAAAAAAAAAGGCGATCCCACGTTCGATCGGAGGATCGGCACGGCCTCCGGTGGTGCACTTGCCACAGGTGGGGCAAAGGAAAATAATCCAACCCTGGTGGGAAGTGATTTTTAAAATAAAAACGCGCGAAGATCACATGGCGTCGTTCCAGTTTTTAAGACCGCAAATACAAAGGGACTTTTGTGCGGATGGAAATTCGTGTATTGTGATTTTCCGCCTCCTCCCCCGGCCAAAGCGAAGGAGGCAGGGCAAGAAAAAGAGGGAAAGAGGGAGAGGGGCAAAATGCCACCGCGTCCCGGTTGTTCAGTCGTTTTGGAACATGTTGGCAAATAACCCCATGCGGCCGGAGAGCAGGAAACCGGAGACAGACTCGGTCTTGACGATGGCGTTGCTGTAGACCTGCTTCCCGAGGGTGTCGAGCGAGCTGAGGGCCTGTGCATCTGGTGGGGGTGCCGTCACGGCGAAGACCGCACGATAGGGCGCCTTGTTGGGCAGAATGACGACGATCTCGTCTGAAGAGCCCGGATGGGGGGTGTCAGGAAGGAAAAAGGGACCGTCCCGGAGTTGCACAGCCGAGTGAGCATGCAGGCTGGCATGGGAACAGCGGGCAAAGGGGGGGGGGAAAAGAAAGAAAAAAAAAGAAAGAAGTCACCGATGGCGATCTTGGATGGACGCCGGGGGCCTCCTCCCTGTCTGGGGGCACGCACAATAGATATTGAAGAGCCGAGCCGCTGTGGAGGAGGGAGCCTTGGTGGGCAAGGTGAAAACGATGTTTTCATTGGCAGTCTCCCCTGGGGCGATCTTGAGAGGAAGTTTCTGCTTCTGGATATTGGAGTAGATGTACACCTGGGTGGTGGCAACATGGTGCCGGACCGAGAAGGCCAGATTCAAGCGGACTTTGATGTCCTTGAGCTTCTTGGAGGACTGATTGACGATGGACAGGGCGAGGGCCACCTGATCGCCGGCATTGTATGCCTGACGATCGCCAAGGGGCATGGAGGGGGGAGAGCGGACATCAGCAGAGGGAGAGAGAGAGAGGGGGGGTAGGTGTGAATGTGAGGATGGAAAATGCGAGGAGGGGCAAATCCCGGTGGGAAATCCACAGAAGCAAGAATGCACAGGCGCAGGAGTATAGCCACGTCAAGAGGCGAGGGGTTGAGGAAAAAGCAAGAGAAGGGGGACG